TGTAACGTATATTAAACACATTGCAGTGCGCTTCTAAACTGATGTCTCTGCAAGTGATAGCTGCCCGTCCTTTTCCTTGAAGGCAGTTGGTACAGTTGTTGATATGTCTTCTTCTAACCTCTCTAAACCTTTTACCCAAGTCAAGTTGCTTCCTGCACCTTCTTCTTTAGAATACAGTGTAAAAAAAGTTATAAACCTGCACTGTGTCTATTTATATACATACCATACAAAACAAAATGTGTTTGGACTTCCATTGCTTACAATCAGACCGATCAACTGTAATATAAATTAGGAATGTTCTTTGCACTGTTAAAGATTCAAATAAGATTGATGGACAAATTAAATGAGACTGTTGTTCTGTGCAGATACTGATTATTCTAAATCTGTGTGAAATTATTATTGATTAAATTGCTGCAAAATAAATTGCTTCTGTTTTCCTGACAATTTTTAGTTGTACTGTTAACCACTAGGTTACAAGTGACTTGCTTCTGCCACTTGACTAATTCAAAATGTCAGAGTAGGCAAAGCTTCTTTATACTGTATATACGTGTGTGTGTGTCAGTCTTCTTTGACTTCTACTCATGGCTTCTCTCTTGAAAGCATCTACCTACTTTCCCCCCCTAGCTCATTGATTTCATGGAAAATTCCTCTGTCTATTGGCAGTCCATATGCAATCTATATCAGATCCTTTGCTTCTGCTGACTCTTAAACTCTCTTTTCATATCACCATGGGTTTTCTCACATTTTGACTTATGCCAATAGAAATGAATTGATACTGATACATAGTATCTGCTGAGTGAAAACTTTCAATATCACTATTCAGCAGGATGACAAGAATAGGCTTGAGTGTAGGGTCCAGTCTTGCTTTGCAGTCAGCTTCTGGTCTTACATTGGGCACAGGGGAGAACTGAACGCTCATAAGTTGCTCTCTAGGCAGTACCACCTATGTTCAGATTTGGTACTTGCTAGGGTAAGGGGTTTGGATTGCTGCTGTGGATAGGTCTTCAGCTATCACAGTAATGATGAGCTCTTCAAATCACCACAAATATGTAGGCCCTAATGGTGGCTAAGACGAGGATTTAAGGAACCTCCTAGTGTTCCTTGTCTTCGCTTACAAGAGCTAATGAATGTTGCTGTGGATGGTTTCCAGGTTGCTGCCTTTGGATACACCTGGACTGGAAACCGTTTACAGCAATGGGACGATATGCAGAATTACAAGAAAAGGTTGTGGTCAGACAAGAGGCCATGTCTGGTGGTAAATGGGGATGGTCAAAAAGAGGCAGAGGTCGTTCAGAAGTTTTAGAAACTGGAACAAAGGTCATGAGGCCAGGAGCACTTGAACACATGGACACTTGGATTTTGCAAGTGCCCAGTAACAACTAAATCTTTGTGCAGGGGAAGAAGAAAAAAATGTCAGCCAGCATGGATCCTGAGTGAGAAACTGGCTGATTCTGCAGAGACTCACTTGCAGCAGGTACAGCTGGGGACCTCATCAAAGGTCGGCGAACTGTGACACCTACAAATCCTTTGAGTGTCCCCTTTATCTCCTATCTGACTGCAAATTAAATAAGTTCACCTATTGTAACATGTTACACTCATATACAGGGAGTAACATGTTACTGTAGCACCGCCCCCCCCCCCCCCCCCCCACTCCTGCACAGCACCAGCAGTCTGCTGATCATTGTTGCAATGCTTTCCAGGCTCCAAAACAAAAAAATAGTAAATACACATTTTTTACCTGCAAAAAGTGATTTTTTTGTTTTAAGTGAACTCATCTTTTAAAGTGATTGTAAACTTTTTTTTTTTATTTTTCTGCTATTAATAAAATTGTTATACTTACTGCTCTGTGCAGTGGTTTTGCACAGAGCAGCCCCAACTCTCTATAGATTAAAAACAGCATGGCTCGACCCCACCTCCAGCTCCCTCGTAACAGGAATGGATTGACAGCAGCAGAAGCCAATCTTCCCTGTGAGGGTGAAGATTGAGTTTAGGTAAGTATAAAGGGTTGCTGGGAGGGATCCTGTGGCACCAAAGGTTTGTTTTTTTGTTTTTTACCTTAATGCATTCTCTCTCTTAAGACTCCTTTCACACGAGTGGACAGGTGGACCCCATTTTTCAGGCAGACCCAATCGGTCCATCCATAGACGTATATAGACTGGTGGGTGTCAGCGGGCAATAGTCCGCTGACATCTGCCAGCATCTGATCCGATCCTGTACACCAAAAACAAACAGATGGGGATCCGTTCCCCATCTGCCCAGTGAATCAGATCAGATGGCAATCGGGTGGAAGCGGCCTGTTTCCATCCTACCGTCCATTGAAATCAGCGGGCAGTGTCTGTGTCCACTCTGCAGCAGCAGAGCAGACAGAGACTTGTCATCTGCCTGCTCAGCAGGGTCAACGGAGAGATCCTCTGCTGAGCAGGCGGATCACGCTGACAGATCCGCCCCATCTGAAAGGGGCCTAAGACTTTACAACCACTTAAGTTCATGGTGCTTCAAAGACCACCTGACTGGACATTTAAAGTGGTTGTAAAATCTAACACATGCCCAGCGAAGTGATTGGCCTTAGATGATACACAGAGATGAAACAAATTCTCCTACGTAAGTTGTACCTATCTATCTACAGTCTTCTCTCTACATCCGTTCAAAGTGCTGAATTTATAAAGCTTCTGAAAGTGTTCAGAAAGCAGGGATTGGGAAGCTGAATTACGCTACTATTGCACAATTGCTACACAGAGCTCAATAAGCAGATCTCTGAGAGCTGATTGGAGGGAAGATGCACACTCCCCTCCACACTGCTCACAGGAACAGAGCTGAGGCTGTCAATCTGTTGGAGGTCACTTCCCTGTCACCATTTTTTCATCTTGGTGTCAGGAAGACTCGTCAGAAGTGATTCATGCTGATAGCAAAATAACGAAGCAGCAGCAGGCAAATGACACTTTGTGCTCTTAATTGTGACAAAGTACACACTATAGAGGGATATCCTTTGTTCATACAGTATTTCATGTCTGAGGTTTACAAACACTTTAAGGTATAAGCAGTCATATTTTAATTACCAGAGGTCATCTACATACATCTACTGCTTTAGGCTTGTATCTACAGTTGTGTCCAAAATTATTCAACCCCCACTGAAATTGAGTGTTTTGGCCAGTTTGACATTGCTTTTGATCATTCAGTCATCTTGCTTACATTTACATTAAAGAGGCACTTGTAGGTCAGACAAATATAACATAACAGTTATAATGAAATAACCACAAATGTCTTTTCTGTGCTCACAGCATTATCAGTTTTATTCAACCCCCAAGTGACATTCAATCTTAGTACTTAGTACAGCATCCTTTTACAGTTATAACAGCTTTTAAACGTGAAGCATAGCTTGACACAAGTGTCTTGCAGCGATCTACGGGTATCTTCGCCCATTCTTCATGGGCAAAGGCCTCCAGTTCAGTCACATTCTTAGGCTTGCGCACTGCAACTGCTTTCTTTAAGTCCCACCAGAGGTTCTCAATCGGATTTTAAGTCTGGTGACTGCGATGGCCACTCCAAAATGTTCCAGCCTTTCCTCTGCAACCATGCTCTAGTGGACTTGGAGGTATGCTTGGGATCATTGTCCTGTTGAAAGGTCCAACGTCTCCCAAGCCTCAGGTGTGTGACGGACTGCATCACGTTTCCATCCAATATCTCCTGGTACTGAAGAGAATTCATGGTACCTTGCACACGCTGAAGCTTCCCTGTACCTGCAGAAGCAAAACAGCCCCAAAGCATGATTGACCCTCCACCATGCTTCACAGTAGGCAAGGTGTTCTTTTCATCATAGGCCTTGTTCTTCCTCCTCCAAACATAGCGTTGATCCATGGGCCCAAACAGTTCTAATTTTGTTTCATCAGTCCACAGAACACTATCCCACAACTTTTGTGGTTTGTCCACATGGCTTTTGGCATACTGCAGTCGACTCTTCTTATTCTTTGGAGACAGCAAGGGGGTACGCCTGGGAGTTCTGGCACGGAGGCCTTCATTACGCAGTGTGCGTCTTATTGTCTGGGCTGAAACTTCTGTACCCACATCTGACAAATCTTTTCTCAGTTCCTCAGCAGTCACACGGGGACTTCTCTCCACTCTACGCTTCAGGTAGCGCACAGCAGTCGAAGTCAGCATCTTCTTTCTGCCACGACCAGGTAGCGTTTCAACAGTGCCCTTTGCCTTGAATTTGCGAATGATGCTTCCTAAGGTGTCTCTTGGTATGTTTAACATCTTTGCAATCTTCTTATAGCCATTGCCCTTCCTGTGAAGAGAAATCACCTCTTCTCTTGTCTTCCTGGACCATTCTCTTGCCTTCACCATGTTTGTAACCACACCAGTAAATGTCTAGAAGGAGCTGAGTATCACAGTCATTTTAAAGCTGCCTAATTGGTGCTTATTATGCTTGATTGCTGCTCGGTGACATCCACAGGTGTTTTCAATACCTGATGGAAAGCACCTGTATGAACCTCTGTTCTTCAGAGTGGTAGTCTTTAAGGGGTTGAATAATTGTGGCAATGAAGAAACCACATAAGAACCATTTACTACTGTATTACATAAACAATTGATGTCATTTTAGTTGCATTTGGGTAGTTACAACGTCCTTGTAGGATTTGATTCTGAATACAATTCCAAATGTACACTATAGTCCCTAAACCCCTTTACAGCATTGGGGGTTGAATAATTTTGGACACAACTGTACTTGCGTGTTGTAAATGTCATTGATTAAAACAATTAGTGGCCTTTCGTGACAGTGGGCATAAATATTAATGTGGCATTATTGCTTTGCTAATCAATACTGGAACATCTTAATCGCCAACCATGATATGGCCACATAAATATACACAGTAAGATGTGCTTTAGAATACTCATTACTGAGCTTTAGATTATGGTTTATTTCAGTAAAAGGGGTAATACAAGACTGAAAACTAAATGCAGGTTTGCTGATCTTTTTCCTTTTTTTGTTTAATGCTTATGCTGCAGATAATTTAAGTGACACCTTGGAGAAGTTGAAGCTAAGTGGATCTGACTGCACATCTGACAAACTAGATGGATGTTTGGATTGTCTGCTTCAGGCACTTGGTCAAAACAGTAAGTTCCAGAATCATCTTTCTACTAATTACATAGCAGCATCAGTGTTTAAATTGATTTTTCTTGTGATGACCTGAAAATCCTACCAGATAAAAAATAGAGTAGGAGCAATTTTCAGGAATATTCCTTTTTTTTCGATAAAGCCCTACAGGTAAATATACTATATATAAAATAATATTACTAGCAATATCCATTAAACTTGTAATCCTGCTGTCCAGTATAAGATCTAATACAGTGCTGAGTAGAACTTAGTGGAAAATTTATGGCGCAATGGCGTTTTACTTCATGGTAATCAAGGATGTAAAATGTCAACCTGTTTTATTTTTGGATTCTTGTGGGTATTTTCACATTAGCAGTAACTATTTTTTAAAGAACCATAGAACCTTAGATAAGGACCAGAAAAGCTTTTCTAAGTGCTGTTGTCCGTTACAAGAAAAAGTTTGTAAATTCTTCAGTATAACCTTGATTTCTTCACGTGGGGCTCTAAAATGTGGTCTGATCATTAACCTAGCCACCAAAATAGAGAAACACAATTTACTTTAAGCCCAGCTTCATCTATGATTATATCAGTACCAATAAATTGTAAGTGCAGGGTACCATGTTGACTCTCCCCTTCCCTGATGGGTCCATGTCCATTTCTCTCAGCGGTTAACTGAATAATGCTAAGTAGAGGGTTGTTACTGGATTACAGAGTGGGTGCAATGCTGAAGACGAGGCGAGCATTGCAGAAAGAGCTACATTTTAAATTTTTTTTTCTTTAGAATTCCTAGGCCATTTATATATAAATATATATATTTACATATAAAAAAGTGTATGTATGTATATGTGTGTGTGTGTGTGTGTGTGTGTGTGTGTGTATATATATATGTGTATGTATGTGTATATATATATATATATATATATATATATATATATATATATACACACACAGTGCTCAGCTTAAATGAGTACACCCCAACAGATTTGTCAGAAAACCTTTACATTCCTTTCAACATTTTCTATGAAACAAAATACTCCCACAAATATGGGCCATTGATTGCAATCAAAATTTGTCCATTTGCAAACACAAAAAAGTATTTTTCATAACAAATTTATTCAAGACTACGTTGCAAAAATTAATACACCCCAATGAAAGTCTTAGGAGCAAAGCTAAATTTTTACATAAAATACTAATTAACAGGAATTCAACTACAGGTGCGTCTAATTATTCATTAAACAGGTGTCCAGCATACAGGTGATTATAAAAGGGCGTTACTTAACAAAGAAAACTCCTTCCCATTTTATGCTGTCAGCAATGGCACCACGTGGAAGAGAAGTGTCAAAAGGCCTGAGAAAAAAAAATTTCTTTACACAAGAAAGGTGAAGGCTACAAAAAGATCAGCAAAGCTTTACTTATCAGTCAGAATACTGTACCAAAAGTGATAAAAAAATTTAACAAAGATGGGTTCTGCAACCATCTCAGAGAAATGTCCAGGTCTTCCACGGAAGTTAACGCCTTGACAGGAACGTCTTCTGATAGAAGGGTTGAAGAAATTCGCCATGAAAGTTCACTACAGTTGGCTAAAGAAGTAGAAAGCCAAATTGGGGTGATTGTTTCTTGTGATACAATGCAGCGTACACGGCAGAGGAATGGCATGCACGGGTGTCGTCCATGAAGGAAGCCTCTCCTAAAGCCCAAGCACAAAAAAAGCCCACCTAGAATTTGCCAGGGCTCATGCTGAAAAGGAGTACAAAGAAAAATGCATGGTGCCTACAGTGAAACATGGTGGTGGCAGTGTACTTCTGTGGGGCTGCATGAGTGCTGCTGGTGTCGGGGAGCTGCATGTCATTGATGTTATAAATTCACGGATGTACTTCTCTATATTGAATGAGAAGCTGCCATTACTCCGTGCCCTTGGTCGTCGTTCACTTTTCCAACATGACGATGATCCAAAACACACACCTAAGGCCACTGTTGCATTTCTGAAGAAGAACAAGGTGAAAGTGAGTCAGTGGCCAAGTATGTCTCCTGAACTGAACCCAATCGAACACCAATGAATAATTCTGAGGAAACAAGTTGAGCATCACTCTCCATCCACCATCGAGGCTCTAAAAGAGGTCGTTCTTGAAGAATGGAAAAAGATAGATGTTGCCCTATGTCGCCAACTTGTTCATTCCATGCCTATAAGACTTGGTGCTATCCTTACAAATCATGGAGGTCATGCAAAATACTAGATGAATTAGTTTTTGTTGAGGGGTGTATTCATCTTTGCATCAACTAATTTAGTAAAACTGCAGATTTTGTAATCTAAGTTATATTAATCTTGCTTTCATGTGATGAGCTAAACAAATGTTCTATGAAACTCCATTTTTTAAACTTTTGGAAATTATCCTTGTGTTCATTGAGATATAGATTAAAATCATATATAAATAAATTTGACTTGGGCTTTAAAGTGAACCAGTGCATTTCCAATGCAAAACCTGACTGTCTCCTAAAAAAAAAAAATGTTTATATTTTGAGTACCTTGCTAGTACTGTGATAGCTAGTTGTGCAGTTGAGGCAATAGAGCAGCCTCAATCCACAATGCTTCATCCACCATGTTAAATGGCAAGAATGAGAATTTGATGTCACTGTGTGGTGGCGTTTCCTTCTCTTTGAACACACATCTTCTTTGTTTCTGCCAAAGAAGTTCACCTTGTTTCCTCGATGTACTGAGCACTTGTCTCAAAAGACCCTTTGAAACCACAGATGTACAGTGTTTTTGAAGAGCTACAATTTCCAGTGTTATGCCCTTTAATGAACACTATATTGGCTCAGCTCTTCATGTAGAGGACTCTGAGGATGTGTTTGTGGGCATTTTGTAGGTAGCTGAAGAGCATCATGCTAATAGGGAGTGTTGTTGGTAGGCATAAGGCTCACAGTGAGCTCTGCAGGAATATTTGAGCACATACCACTAGCATGGTGGCATCACTAACCACTTTTAGGAAATAAAAAGAGTAGAATACCAGAACTGGTACTTGCATATAGAAGGGCCAAAACCTGTTTTCATAAAAGAAAGAGGTGCATGCAAAGGACTGTTCGAAGTATAAAGCTGGGTTTTTAACTCCACAAGGCACCTTTTTATACTTGTCACAAACCTCAGTACTGGGTCTTAATCTTCCTATAAGTTTTTTATTTTATTTATTTTTATTTATTACAGGTACTTATATAGCGCCGTCAATTTACGCAGCGCTTTACATATATATTGTACATTCATATCAGTCCCTAACCCTCAAGGGGTGTACAATCTAAGGTCCCCAACTTACATTCATACATACACATACTAAGGCCAATTTAGACAGGAGCCAATTAACCTACCAGCATGTCTTTGGAGTGTGGGAGGAAACCAGAGTACCTGGAGGAAACCCAGGCAGGCACAGGGAGAACATACAAACTCCAGGCAGGTGGTGCCATGGCTGGGATTCGAACCGACTACCCTAGTACTGCCAGGTGGAAGTGCTAACCATTAAGCCACTGTGCTGCCCTATAAGTTAGATTACTTAAAGTGATACTAAAGTCTTATGTTTTTGTTTTTTTTTGTATTTCAATGGTTTTTATTAATTTTAAACAGTATAAAACACAAGCAACAAAGCACGCCCACGCAGGGGCTATCAAATTGCACCAATAAAAAAGGCAAAATAGAGCAGACAACGCTCTAATTCTAATAAGGCAAAACGTATGCCCACGCAGGGGCTATCAATGACACATAGATTACAGTAACACATCAGTGAGACTTTGATTATCTCAACTAAAGACAGCTGTCCACTGTCACATCAAAACAAACAGAAAAGGAGGGAAGAAGAGCAGAGAAGAAAGGAAGAAAAAAAAAAAAAAAAAAAAAAAAAAACCACACAAAGAGCAGGGGTCCACGAGCGCCAATACCAAACTCCATTACCTCCCCACACTGGTCGGGGGGAGCGTGGGAAAGGCGTATTGCAACCAAGGCTCCCAAACTTTCAAAAATTTATGTTGAGAGTCGTTGCATATGCTCGACATCTGTTCATTGAGCATCATAGTAGTCATACGATCCCGCACCCCCTGGAAAAGTACAAACGGACTCTTCCAGGCCTGAGCAATTGTCCTAGTAGCCGATAAAAACAAATAGGAAGCCAACCGCTGCTGACGAGCCAAAAGGCCCGGTATGGGGCAATGATTACAAAGTTTTTTTTTTTTTTTTTTTTTAATACCAAAGATGTCATACCTGTTCTGTGCAGTGGTTTTGCATAGAGCAGCCCAGATCCTCTTCTTCTCAGGTCCCTTGCCAGCGCTCCCCTCCCTCCTATCAGGTGCCGCCATAGCAAGCAGCTAAAGAGGCACTCAAGCAGGCACGCTCTTGAGCCATGACTTTGCGTGTCCATTTCCAACAGAGCCATGGGTCGGTCCTGCCCCTCCCTCTCCTGATTGGCTCACTTGCTGTGATTGACAACAGCAAGAGCCAATGGCTCCCGCTGCTGCCTCAGCCAATCCGCAGTGAGTGTCCCTGGAGAACCAAGGCTCTCGTGGACATCACTGGATCGGAATGGGGCTCGGGGCTGGGTAAGTACTACACACAGATGTTTTTTTGCCTTCATGCATATATTGCACGAAGGTATAAAACCTTAAACCTTTAACCCCACTTTAAGTTTCTGGAGTTTAACTTTAAGGAGTCTCACTGACTTCCATTGTTTAACAGTCTCTAATATTGTACCTCCAAGCCACTATATGGTATATTTGATTACTATAAACATATTAGTCTACAACAAGAAGCTTGTTTGAAAGCATGGGCTCAGCTGGATTGATGTACAGGTAAAGCAAGACTCTGCTCGAGCCTTTCTGAAAATTATTACGAAAGATCACATAACTCTCAATTTAGGCTAAGGCTTGGCTATACATTAAAGGCATCATGTTCACTTACTGTAAGGCCTCCATTTCCCCTGGTACCCTGATACAAATAATTCAGAAAAAATGAGGAAGGGTTGTAACAGCGCAAACACTGCAATGT